ACTCTTTCCATGCATTCTCCTAGTATTCAGTCTGCACAACTTGGACTCTGTGAAGCCGAATACAGCTCACCCACCATGCATTGTGGCTAGCCAAGGGTCTCCCTTCTGCGGGCAGGCAGCAGAGGAAGTGTCTTGACCTCCCAGTAAGCCGCCATACATGGTGGGTGGACAGCATTCAGCTTTGCTAGGTCACAAATCCCACAGTCTTAACTGCAACAAATTTATTTCACCAATCCACATTTGCAGTTTTTAGAGACATCAAAACAATTATCTAAATCAGCCAAATGCCAGAGAAGCACACACAAACTGAAAGAGACTCGTTTATGCAATAGATTTCAACAGCAGATGCGTCAGATTATTTTAGTTGTACTGTAAGATGTCTCTTATTAAAACAAATAGGAGTGTTTTAGAAGAGTTTCTCAAGATTCCCAACCCCAGGAAAATGCTCTCAGCAGTTTTTCGGCCCTGACATTCTCCTCTGTGACACTTGAAACAGCCTTTGGGTTGAAGGGCAGCTGATGCACGGCTATATTTGTAACTCTGGCTCATTGCTGGCATTCTTCTCAGTGAAAGAAGCTACTGTCTAAAGTTACAGCAATCAGACTTCCATTTGCAGTCACAGCGAACTGGCAGGGAATGGCCTTCATTTGAAAAATCAAGGTTCACTTGGAGAAATAGATGTGGTTTGCTGTCATTGGGGCATAAGAAGAATTTACAGATGTTTAAGAGAGAAGGCAAGTTTTGTGCGTGTGTCCCCCCCCCCTTTTTTTGGCTAGCAGCATTCTCAGTTTCTTACAGATTATTAGAACCAGATCACATAAGCATGGTGGTTTGAAACTGTATCTTTGTGATCCTGAGCATTATTGTTTAAAGTTTTTCTAAAGGCACAAACTCTAATTACAGGTGAACCAATGAAATCGACTAAACTGCAGATTTATAGGGCAAGAACTAAAGGAGTAGATATTTTGTAAAATGTTTATTTTGTATTTTTATAGCCAAGTTTACACGTTGTAAAAACAGATTTTTTTTTTCAAAATTTTGTGTGATGTTCTTAATGTTCCTAAACCCCTCAGGTGTCAGCAGTACATTTTTCTGGAGGCCCATTTTGAGCAGGGGGTGACAGTTGGGATGCCACAGCCCACACCTGCATGCACAGTGCCATCAAGACCTACAACTACAGCTACTTCTCCATCCAAAGATCTTTCTTGACTCCAAATAACATGGAGCCAGATTTAGCTAGGAGTCAATAGCTGCCAATCTGAAATCTCGACTGTTGCCCTGTGGGAAATCAGAATGTTGCAATTAATCCAACATATGGAGGAGACCTTCAAAGTAGAAGACAGCTTATGTTGACAGCCTGTTACTGTGATCCTCCCTTGTTGTGTTTCATGTCCGCAGGGAGAATGTCAGTGCTCACAAGCAGGGCTTTTTTTGTAGAAAAAGCCCAGCAGGAACTCATTAGCATAATAGGCCACACCCAACTGTAGAAACTCATTAGCATATTAGGCCACACACCCTGACAACACAGCTCATTAGCCTATTAGGCCACACCCCATGCCTTCCCTTGGCTTGCCTGGGCACCCCACAGCTGCCGGGAGTCCAGGCAAGCCGGCCCTTGAACAGGCCGGGGGTGTGTGTGTTGCTCTCTAGGCCTTCCCTCTGTAGCCACGCACACAGAGGTTTTGGCTATAGTGGGCGTTGCCAACTCTGAAGCCAGCCGGAACTCTGTTCCTGTGCGTTCCTGCCCAAAAATAGCCCTGCTCACAAGTATATTGTCTTCAGAAGTCAATGGCACTCAAAGTGTGCCCAACATTCCAAATGGCCACATCTGTCCATGACTGAAAGGAAACACAGCCAGGTTATGAACCTAGATGTGCTAAAAGAGTTCAGAGTAGGCATTGGACCCCTTTGTCACTTTTGAGGATAGGACGCTTTGGATTTTTGTGGTCCATAGTGTGAAAGTCCCTTCTGGGATGTGAAATAGGGGCAAGAAGATTTATGCAACCAGCAGACTAATTGGAGTTCGTTGCACAAAATACAGTTTAAACAAACCACATTATTGTCACATCTGAAATGCAGCTTTTATTGCTTGTGACAAACTTAACGTGGCTACTCTTCTGTCTATATTTCATTTGTGCCTGTAGGTCATTGTGGCTAAACTGCTCCTCTTTTACTTGTCCTGGAGACCTTGGGAAATATTAGGCCTCTACTGCTCTTAAACCCCAGACTTTTTCCTTGCATGTTGAGTTAATCTCTGATATCCTTGATTCTGCAATGGACCCACAATCCAAACAGAGTGAGCAAGAAAGCCCAAGATTTTATCACTTGGAACTTTATGACTCTAGTGAGGATTTAGCAATGTTTTTAGAAGAACCCTTCAGAAGACGAGATCTGGCTTTGCAGGAAAAGAGGCAGGTGTCAGCTAAGCTAGGCGGAGCAGATCAGAACAGCTCACAGAAGGATGCGGAAGAACCAGCAAGGCCTGACAAGAATAAGGACACAGAAGTGGAGCTTGCCGCTAGTTCTGAGAGTACAGCAACAGGTTCAACTGCAGAGTTGGCAAAGAATAGCCACCTGACAACAAAGACCACGCATATAGAGCACATTCAGAGCACAGAGGAGAAGCCGATTCCTGGCAAGAATTCTCAAGTCCAACACCCAGACAACGAAAGCGGAAGCAATGGTAGAAAGGTTGCTGTGGACGAGCAGCCCTTCAAGCTAAACAGCCAAGAGAAAGACAAGGATTCATACTGTATTACTTGCTGTGTTCCAATCCGAGCACTAGATGACCAGGGGAGCCATCACGATGAACACGAGGTCATTCCTCTTCTCAACGTAGTTGAAATTGCAAAGGTGAGGACAATGGAAGTCAACCTGAGATGGGAGGAGGGAGGATCACTATTTCAACTGTAACCCAGCATGCTAAAGCTTATGTTTTTGATAGGATGAGCTTCAAAAATATATATGTAAACTGGAAGATCAGATTGCTCACCTAGAAAATTTTTCCAGCCACTTGGAGGAGATTTTTATCACTGTAGAGGTAAGATGCAACTAACCAACCGAGTGTGCATCCTATCCATATATGAATTTACCTACCATGATTTCCTGCAAAGATTCCTGTAGGTTTGGCAGCTCTGAGTTGGGGTGAGATTGGGGTGTAGAGTCTGGGGAGGGTGGAGTTTGGGGAGGATCAAAGACTCAGCGGGCTATAATGCCACAGAGTCCACCTTCCAAAGCAACCATTTTCTCCAGGGAAGATGATCTCTGTAGTCTGGACATCAGCTGTAATATGGGAAGACGCCAGGTTCCACCTGGAGGTTGGCAACCCTAGATTCCTGGGAACTGAAGTGTAGTGTGGATGGCAAGATTGCTCAAAGAACTACAAGTCTCAAAGTTCCCTGGGGAAAGGGAACAGACTGTTAAACCACTTTAATCCTGTCTTATAGACACTGCCTCTTTTTCCTTCAGGATAGTGGTATTCAACTGGATTTGTACCTGGTTGGTAACGAAGGTGGTGTTGCCAATGCGCTAAGAGCGCTAAGGTTCTTTGACTTGTGTGGTTAGCCAATAAACCACACAGTGAAAACAATCATCCAGGCAGTAAAGGGTTACAAAAGTATTTATTCGAATAAAGGAACACCTCACAGCTTAAATTCGGCGTGGGTGTTCAATGAGCAAATACAGAAGCAGACTTATATACTCTTCTTACTCCTCCTCACTTTACATCATCACTGACATCACTTAGACATGCTCAGTTCAGATTTATTTGTCTGGCCGGTCATCAATCATTCATTTGGCACACAGGATATTACTTGGCTGCACTTCAACCCCCACAATGCAGATGCGGCACTCATTATTTTTGATTTACAGTTTTATTTACTCCTTTTTGGCTTTTCTCCCAGACTCCTTTTACCTTTTAATGAACTTTTAGACAGTTCATTCTCAGTATTAGACTGTCAGTTCAGTTACAAAGTTGTTTTTCTTTACATTTATATAGGCATACATGTTACAAAAACACCTTTGCTGGCATTTTGTGATCTATCTCTATTAAATGGATACATTGAATTCCAGAAAAATACAGCATTACACCATTGTTTTCACAATTAAACTCTTTACATGAATTCTTTTAGTGTTTTAAATAACCTGTGGCATAAAGCTCTTGTAGGTGCACTGAACCCATCTATTAGTTTTCATTTTTGCCTATCGGAATATTTTTAATAATTTTATTACGTTTCTTTTTGTCTAACGTTTTTAATTTATAATTTATTTCAGTCAACAGAGGGTCCTCTTTTACAATACAAATTCTGTACTTGTTAATTGGATTTTGGCAGATGTGCATGATTGGTCTCTGTGACATCATCTGCCTGCTAGCCACTTGATACTCCTTAAAACTTAACAGCACAGAATAATGAGGTGTATATGACTGATTACTTTGTTTTTCCCAAACCTTCTGGAACATCTCCTTTTAACTTAGCTTCTTTAATTGACCTGTCCATGATTTACGTACTTTCATGTTGGCTGGGGTCCACACACACCTGGCCCAGCTCTTGGTCATTTTCCAACTCTTTCTTGTTAGTTCCTTCACTTGGCTTTAAACAGTTCCTTAAAACATAACTACTTTTCTCTTCAGGCAAACAGTCTTTGTCTTAAGCTAAATAAACTTTTTTCTATAGCAGAACTTAAAATTATTGGAGCTTTTGCTTTTTACAAATTTCTTATACCATAATCTTGGTAAATATTCAGCTTTAAGCATAACATAAAGTTCAAAAAACACACACCAATACATTAAGCAAAGCTTTCTGTTATTCCAACAAACCAATAGGCAAAACATATATAGACATTGCTCAAAGCATCTAATGGTTCAATATGTTAGAATATAAAAACGATCTGGGCTTCTCTCATTCAGAGTTGCTACACAAAGCAAAAGCTGCTATAAACTTTTCACCTTTATTTGGCTAATTTCCACCGTAGCAAAAAGATTCCATAATAAATCTTGGACTCTTGATGGGTTTTAAAAGTTGGCCAAATTAATGGGCCGGATACCTGCAATAGCTCCTAATTAAAAAGGTTGACGCAAGAACATCCTGTCGAAACTCAAATACTCCCTTGTTAATTAAAAATAATTGAAACCACCTGGCATTCTACAACAGTGTCCAGTGGTCTAAAACAGGATGTTAATTCTCCAGGAGATTCCCAGAGAATTTCTCCCAAAGGTTTCTGTAAAACAGCAATAATCAATAAAACATCATTTGAACCCAGGGCACTCTCTACAGTGGTGTTCAATGTTTTCAGTTGGAAGAACTGTTTATGTTAATTATTTTATCCTGCCTTTCTATTGAAAAAGGGCTGCAAAGCTGCCTACAATGACAATATTAAAAATCACAATATCCAAAACAATCCAAATTAAAACTAATCAGACCAGTAAGACACATATTTCCAGACAGGTTATTTTCCCCAGGTAGAGATGCCAGACCCCTCCCCGGTGGGGCGGGGTCCCCTGCTGCCAGGCCCCACCTCTCCACCACCAATCAGCTGGCCAGTGGGGGGAATTACCCCCCCAAAAGGGAGGAACACCCAACTAATTCTACCATAGAGTTTTTGCCCAAAACCCAGAGAATTGCCCCAATGTTCCAGGATGAGGGGACCTGGCAACCCTAATGCCCTGCTTTCCCAGTCCAGTTGCCTTTATTGGCATGTAACCCTTGCAAACCCATATACAAAAAATCCAACAACAACAACAACCACAGCATAGAATAATACTTGCAAAATACAGAAACAAGGAATTACCAAGTAAGTATACCCATCCATTAAATAAAGGGTGAATAGAAATGGCACCAAAAAGAAATTTAGCAACAGTTTCTGTTATATCAAGGTTTGGATTATCAAGAAGAATAAAGATCTTTAAGCAATCAGGATATTCTTCTAATTGAGCCAAAATAAAATTTAGAAATTTCAGTCGTAGTGCATGGTAGAAGGGGCACTGCAACAAGACATGGGAAATCGTTTCAATATTATCATTTGTGCATGGACAACATCTGTCAGAAAAGGGCACACCCTGAAAGCGGCCAGATAATAAGGACATTGAATCTTGCGAAAGAGAGGGCTCTACGGAGTTTGGGGGTGTGAAGTTGGTACAGGTAAGAGGCAGTTGGCCGACTTTAGGAGATATTCCAAAATACAGTGGTGAACAGGTTTTATTAACAGCAGGGGTCATTTCGTAGAAAAAGAGGTGCAGGAACTCACTAGCATAACTCATCGTCATAACTAATTTGCATATGCCACAGCCCCTGACATCACCGGAAGTGTGTCAGAAGGCAACACCCACCGCTCAGGCTCCACTGGACTGTTTTGGATTGCTAGCTATTTTGGAGGGGGAAACGTGCAGATCTGTCCTTGCAGAGGAGGGAGAGCTTGTACCTGAGTAAAACTTGGTCTTAAAGGTGCCACTGGACTGTTTTGGACCGGGGGGCTGGGGGGAGCTCTGCAACTTACCTGGCTGCTTCTTGCTCTGACTGAGGGCTGCTGGGAGCAGGGGGTGGGGTTTTTTGCATGTGCCCACCCCCTGGGCTTTTTACTGCCGGAGCTCCGTTCCTGTGCGCTCCTGCAGGAAATGACCCCTGATTAGCAGCATTATACAGTGAGTGTAGCTCAGAACAAAGTAGATTGATTCTTATAATTGAAAAAGCCTCAGACTAGGAAGTAAGGAGTAAAGAATCTAAGGTGATATCCAGGGATTTAATTTTGGGCCTGCTTTTCTCCAAAGTTTTGGGGGAAATTGCAGCAACACCTGGATGGCTTCTGTGTGGGTGGAAAAGTTTGGATTTTCCTAGTCCCATACTCGATAGCCATTTCTTCCACAGCAGTCACTTTCCTTTCCTCCCAACAGGGAGCTTTTTAAAAACAGACAATACCATTCTATCAAGGTAATGTTATAACGATATGTATAACAGGATCTCTGAAGTCCCAGCTTTCATATTTTAAAGATAAGTCTCTAGCACCTTTCATTATGGAGATATAATGGGAAATGAGCTGCAAACTCAAGACAACTGTTACGCATATTATTCTGTTGTACCAATATTCAATTGCTGATGTAAAAAAAAAAACCATGGAAAAGCCCAAGGAATGTGGGTGAGGGGAGGACATGGGGGCTGCTGGGGACCAGGGCCGGGGAAAGTGGAGGAAACCTGTTGCATGGAAGCCCCATTGCCGCTGTGCTGTACTGGGGGGAATGAGTCATGCCTGTTCCCAGATAGAAAATACCACACGAAACACAGATTCAGGAGAGAGTCGGTTATGTGGTATAGAAGGCCAGTCTGTGTAACTGTGTAGGGTCAGTGTGGTGTAGTGGTTAGAGTGCTGGACGGGGGAGACCTAGATCCAAATCACTCCTGAAACTCACTGAGTGGCTTTTGGACATTCACTCACTCTCAGTCTAATGTACCTCACAAGGTTGTTGTGAGGATAACCTGGAAGGGGTGTTAAAATATAAATCTGGATCCCAGTGATCATTTCCAGTAACAGTAAGCACTTCCAGTAAGCATTAGTGGAACAGAACTCCTCTGACTCCTCCACGCCCACTGCAGCCCACTGATCTTGAGGGGACAGGAGACCCCCCAAGAACAGTAGGAGGTAAACTGGACATCTGTAGCAGGAGGATGATTGCCCCCTTCCATTAGTAGAAACTGTTGGGATTCAACCCATAGGTTTGTAGTATAGACACAACATGTAAGGGCTTTCCACTGATTGTCTGGGGCTTTGGGCTCAAATTCTAAGCAAGCTCAACCCAAACCCAAAAATGCTTTCCAGGAGAATTTTGCAAAGCAGGAGCAGAACTTTGAGAGGCATTACAACGATGTGATGCAGACCCTTGAACAAAGATACGAAGAAAGCATGCAGGCTTTGGGGGAAGAGAAGAAGGAGAAGCTGGAGGCCTTGTACAAGCAATTGGTCAACTGTGGAGAAAACCTGGACACCTGTAAAGAACTGATGGAAGCCATTGAGGATCTAGGCCAAGGTGAAAATAAACTGAGTGCATTAAAGGTAAGGAACCAGGTGTGCTGGAAATGGTCAAGGAAGAAATTATTTCCCTAGCCCATTAATGTTTCCATAAGTAAATACATAAATAATAAAAATGAAGCCCAGGGCATCTGGTCCTTTAAGTTCAGCCACACAGTGTTGTTGAAAAGATAAAATGACCACAGACACTCATGGAGCATCACTTGATAGTGCATGATCATACTAGGGTGGCAGGCAGGTGCTTTGCAGAACACTACAAGTTTGGATGGTAACAAATGAGACACATCTTCTTCTCCTTGGGTGGGAATAATTGATGGATGCTTTGTAATCCTGATTTGAGATACAGGAATCATTTGTTCTTCAAACCACTCTGTTCAAAAGGATTAAAAGTATTCATCAGCATTCACCTGCTTCTCCATCTGCCGTTTTTGTATTCAGCAGGCAGGGGCGTGTTGTTACTTTGAAAGATATTTATTTCCCCCTGCTCTAAAGGCTCATTTTGCCAGAGGATTCAGACGGAGCAGCCAAACAGAAGCCTCATCAGCCACCCAGATTATGGAAGCTCCTGCATGGTGACTAATGAATCTAGCAGCTCAACACATTTCAATAAATGTCTTTCTTAAGACAAGGGTTTTCTGCTGAGACCATAACAAGGATTTCCAATTCCTGTGAGCGATCACCCTAATTTTGCTTTGCCATGTATTTTTTTTTGGGGGGGGGGCATTTTCAGAGCACAACGAGAGTGACTTTTTTGAGGAAGACGGGAAGGAAGGAAATTGCATTTCACTTTGAGTTTTCCACTGTGCCATTATTTGCTGGTTTGTGCAATTGCTTTCTTCTCTTTTCCTTTGGTTTCATTTGGCAAGGGGGCTTGGCTTTCAAATGCCCTTTCTCCATGGAATCTTCTTTAGCAGTCTTCCCTCAAAGTGTGTGCGTCCATTCACAGCACACTTCACAGCCCTGCTCAGCTGAGACATAAAATTCCCTTCAAGACCACCTTAGGGCAGTCACTATATTTGAACAGACCTCACAGGATTTTCAGAGGAAGAAACCCTACGCATGCCATCCCAGGCTCCTTAGAAGAGCTGGGTTAAAATGTCACTGAAATACTGCTAAATACAGTTTGCTGTGGGAAGCAACAACCAAAAAAGCTCCTAAAAGCTCAACTGACTCATCCAATGTGTCTCTGCATGAGTCACTGCTCTCTGGCCTTGCCTCCATCCACTCAGTCTTTTACCATGTTGCTGCATGCTTGGGTCATTCAGTGACATCCGATGGACACCCCTTCTGATTCACTGCTCTGCACTTGCCTCCTCTTCTTCAGCAGGTCATTCCACCACAGGGGCAGGATATTTTGCACAGCATCCATTGGGACTGTAGCTGCCCTCTTTGCCTACACACATTTGCAACATGTTCCTATCACTAACATTTTTCTTTCTCTATTTTTTCTTACAGACTGCAATAGCTACCATTCGCAGGTAATTTCCCGCCGCTTGTGCAGAATAAGACTGGTACACTGGAAGCATTTAATATGCTGGCTGTCCCATGTCCACCTCTCATATTTACTTATGTGGTGACAGTACCTGTTAAGGGTAGAATTGTCTGGCATCGGAGTCAGCCCTACAAACAGACATCCTATCTTAGGCAGCAGTTTTGGGGATATTATTAAAGCACAGTACATTATCAATGCTTTAAATGATTTTTTAAGTAACCATTCGGATTTTTCCTCCCACAATGAGCAAATGGCTTGGGCTATCTCTTGCTGATATAAGGAAAAAGGTGGAAAGGTGGTATGTTATTTCATTTGATTAAAAGAAACCTATGGCCAAGTTCTCAGAGAAAATAGAGTTGACATCAAATAAGCCCCCCCCCCTTTGCACTTACAGATTAGATGATTTCTTGAAAAAGGATGTGGATGTAAAACTCTCAACACCAGCAGACTTTGAAGATCGAGTTATAGATTTCTCTGATGTTGGAGAATTAATGGATTCCGTGATTGCAGTGCCAGGTATTCATCTTGTTTGCCCCGGGCTTCACACTCAAAATAATAAGGCTAATGGAAGCCCATTAAAGCCCATGGAAAGGGAAGAAATGGGAAGCCGTCCTCCATTGTAAAGACAGGGCAACACATGAGTCCAGCTTTAAAAGAAAAAAGGGGAGGACTGCCTCATTGAAAAATAAGGAAAGGGCAAGACTGAAAAGTGAGCCAGCACATCACTTGCAGGTATTTTCATGTACACGTTTTTATTAAATAGCAAAGTCACAGTCATCTTACCATGGAAATCTGCTGCAACTATTGTTTATAGGATTCCCATTTTTCCTGGTAGGACCTGGAGTCCTTCCGGGATTGTAACTGGTCAGGGGTCTTTTCATAGAAAAAGAGCTGCAGGAGCTCATTAGCATATTAGTATGCTAATGAGCAACTAGGCTATTAGCATATGCCACGCCCCCTGACCTCACCGGAAGTGATGTCAGAAGGGGAAGCAAAAGGGGGGAGGCATCTTCAAAAGCCTCCCCTTCCCTTCCCCAGCTGGCCTGCGGGGGGGGGGGAGCAAAGAGTTGGGCCACAGAAGAAGGAAAGAGGGAAGGAAAGAGAAGAAAAGAAGGAAGGAAAGAGGGGATAAAAAGAAAGAAGGAAAGAGGGAAAGAAAGAAAAGGAAAGTGAAGGAAAGGAGGAAAAGAAAGAAGGAAAGAGGAAAAGGAGGAAAAAGAGAAGAGAAGAAGGCGGGAAAGAAAGAAAGAGAGAAGGGAAGAAGGAGGGAAAGGAAAAGGAGAAAAGGAAAGGACAGAATGAGAGAAGGAAAGGAGGAAAAGAGGAAGGCAGGAAGGAAGAGAAGGGAAAGTTTTACCGCTTCGGTGGGGGCCGGGGAAGGCAGAGGCGGGGCTCTCCAGGCCTCCCCCAAGCCGCAGCACTTCTGCACGGGCCCGGGGGACCTGGCGGTGGCGCTCTCCAGGCGTCCCCCAGCTGCAGCCCTTCTGCGCGGGCCCGGGGGGACCCGGCAGCGGGGCTCTCCGGACCTCCCTCGAGCTGCAGCGCTTCTGTATGGGCCCGGGGGACCCAGCAGCGGGGCTCTCCGGGCCTCCCCCAAGCTGCCGCACTTCTGCACAGGCCCAGGGGACCCGGCGGCGGGGCCGCAGCGCTTTCGGCACCGAGAAGCTGGGGCTTGCCGCCACCACCATTTGCCGCTCCTGTGCGCTCCAGCCCCAAAAGACCCCTGCACCGGTCCACCAGACTATGGACATCAGATCTCCACCCTCCTAGGCTCTGTCCCAAATTGCCAGGAATTAGCAATCCAGTTTACATTTTTATTGGGAGGAAATGCCATGGGGGCCTAAACATGCTGCCCAACTAAACCCTTGTTAGGATCCTATGGCCTTGGTGTTAAGTAATGCACATTTCCTGACCCTTTTGCATTCATCACGTGAAGTCTTTCGACAGGTTTCATTCTTGTTATTCCAGCTGTTTCACCTCCTTGTGCACCAGTCATGAATTCCCAAGACCCCAACTCAGCTACTGGTACGTCCGTGAGAGTATGCTGGAGCTTTTTCTCAGAAGACATTATCGAAAGCTACCAGCTGTTCTACCGACGAGTAAGCAATGATATATCAAAAGATGAGCAAGATGGTAAGCAGACAGAATCCTGGTGACTTTCAGTGGTTATGTGTGAGGAAAGGACTATGCCTGATGGCTAAGAGCAACATCTGTTTTGGGGTGAATTTGGAAATTGCACTGATTTGAGTTTGTTGCAGCCACTGAACTGAGTTCCTAATCAGACACACCATGAACAGTCCACATTAGAAAAGCAAAAACAAATAAAGTATGGGTAAAAATTAAAGAAATATGGTATAAGAAAACCCCAAGATGGGTCGCTCCATTGGAAGCATTTATTATTCCCTCAGCGATAACAATGAATTTAAAGGAAAGCTATCAAACATTATTAAATAAAAAAAATGAATTAAAAACAGAAGAAAAATTGAGAAAGGAAAATAATCTATCATGGTGGGAGCAAATAACATTAAGAGATAGATTTAAGAAAGACACTATAAGAGGATTTGAGGATCAAAACAATGAATTAGATAAAATATGGCTGTCCTCAAACGATAAATTGATCCAGAAACTGTATAACTTACATATAAGGGAATTCATGAAGGATGAAGAAGTTAAAAATGTAATGAACACCTGGGTGAAAGATATAGGGGAAATTGAGGAAGAACAGTGGGCAGCTATGTGGAAAACTGTTAAGTATATGAAAGTGGTCGCGTATAAAGAAAACGTATATAAGATGTTCCATAGATGGCACTGGGCACCTGTTAAACTGGCCAAATGCTATAGGGGGTATTCCGATAAATGCTGGAAATGTAAAAGTTGCAAAGGAACGTTTTACCATATGTGGTGGGAGTGTAATAAACCTCAAAGATTCTGGAGAATGGTCAGGAAAGTCCTTCAAGAGAGTTTAGGAATTAACGTAGCACCAGAAATATACCTGTTAAACATGATTCCAAAAGGTTACAAACAACAGGATGCATATATAATCAGCTATATTATAACAGCAGCCAGACTGTTAATAGCTCAAAACTGGAAATCTGAAAGCTTACCTACTAAAGTAGATTTGGTAAATAAAGTGTTGGAGCTAGCCAGAATGGATGATCTAAGTTTAAAGTTACAAAACAAAGATGAGAAGGTACACAAAAAGAGATGGGATAAGATATATAAATGGATAGAACTCCAGACAGAAATGTAACTAGAAAAAGATATGCTACATATTAGTAATACTGGCCGTTATATTACCAATGGTTAAGTTTAATAACTGGATATGTACGACTCTGATCTGTAAATAAGCTGATGGACTGTGGATATGTATACTCTTTTATCTAAAACAATAAAAATTTAAACTACAAAAAAAAAGAAAAGCAAAAACAGCATAATCCCTAGGTATGCTGCAAGATGAAGTTAGGCAGTAGAGAGACATAAATAAAGGATTGTTTTATTTCAATCATTGTATGAGGAGTTGGACCACCATGCCATCAGTGTATCTGATTTTTACCACCCCCAAATCTGTGGATACTTAAATCTGGAAACTGGCGCTATGAACAAACAATACAGATCTTTCGACAAGCCTGAAAAACTCCCCAAATTTGCAGAAAATCTGAACCCTAAAAACAAACAAACAAAAAACCACTAGGGAATCGGAAAGCCCCAAAACAAAAGAAGCGGTGTCTGTAGCTTTAAGAAAGTGCTAGGCAACCACTACAGCATTGCCAGCATCCAAGTCTTGGTGTCTGTCACTAAAAGGTAGGGGGCGGCTTTGGCCTTTGAAGAAGGATTGATTGGGGCCAGGCCTAGTAGCAACCACCAAGTGACTTGTCACCACCTGGTTTTTGTGACTTACCCAAGCCCAGCTGCTTGCTGCTGTTCAACAGCAGCCATCTCACAATAGCCAGTGTGGTGTAGTGTTTAGAGTTTCAGATTAGTTTGGGAGACCCAGGTTCAAATTACCACTCTGCCTATAACATTGTTCTCAAAGCTCATTTTAAAGGAATAACAAGAGTTAAGAAGAACAATGTTATTTATTTTATTAGTTACATAATTATACCCTACCCTTCCCAAACGGATATATATCCAACCTCAGGCCTTTTAAACAGTCTCTCCCCCTCCCTGCCCTGGTAATTGAACTATAGAACAGCATCTTTGGCACAAAAACTGTTCCTGTTTATGTATGTACTTTTGAAAATTCAACACCAATTTAAAATAATGACCTAACTCTTACATTTCCCCATTTCAGAGTTTATGCTAAATGTGAAAGAAACCTATGCCACAGTTACTAACCTAGTGCCTAATACACAGTATGAAATTTGGGTGAGAGCACTCAACAGTGCTGGAGCTGGATTAGCGTGTGAAAGAGCTGTCTATCTAACAGGTAAACGCATTCTGTGGTTGGTTTTAAGCCTAACCTTTTTAAAAAGTGTTAACTATGCAAAATTTACCAAAAAATAGAACATTCAAATAGAGAGATCAACATTTGCAGTTATTACAAGGGGAGAGACTTAGCTGTGTGTGTTTTCAAGTGTGCTTCAAGGACACCAAACAGCAGGAAGAGTGAATAAAAGAGCTACCAAAATGAACATGGGGTTGCTGCACCTGCCCTAGGAGGCAAAACTAACACATCTGGAGTTTTTAAACTTCAATCTAGGGGGGGAAAAGCTGATTGAGGGATGACATGATAGAGATGTACAGAATCATGCATAATTTACAGAAAGAGGATAGAGACTTTTCTACCTCTCAATAATGTTAGGACAGTCAGATGGTATAGCTGAATACATTCCGGGCCTGCCTACCCAGTATCTCAAGAATAGAGAAGAATGTGAAAATATAGTCACCCGTGCTTTAAAATTAGTTGTGTTTAAAGAAATATAATGAGAGAGCAAAAGTGTGGGGTAGTGGTCAGAGTGCCAGACTAGGACATGGTAGACCCAGGTCCGAATTCTCCACTCAATTGGATGTTCGCTGGGTGACCTTGGGCCACTCACATACTCTCAGTCTAACCTCCCTCACAGGGTTTTTGTGAGGATAAAATGGAGAGGAGGAGGACAATGTATCCCACTCTGGGTAGCCACTGGGGAGAAAGGCAGGGTGCAAGTAAAGTAAACAAATAAAAGAGTAAGACCAAATCACAGAAATTAGGTGATAATTCTTAAGAAGTCACACCCTCACCTTCCACAAAATACACTCTGGACATTTCTGTCCCAGGCAGCAGTCCAGTCCTCAAATGCTGATCCCGCTGCATTCTTTTGTTAAATACTCCAAGACGCACCTGTTACCTTTTATAAAGTACCGCAAAAACTCAGCTGAAGATCATCTAGAAAATATTCAGCTTCATGGAATCAGGAATTAAGCACTTCATTTAAACAAGATCCATGCAGCAAAAATGGGGGCAACCTGGATTCTTCATAGTCTGTTTTCAGATTTGGAAATTAACAGAATAAATTTTAAAACTTCAGTAATAAAAATGTACGCTGCTGCATAGAGTACATCTCGTACTGAAGCAAGGACCTCTCTGTTCTACATTTTAGCTCCTTTGCCACCAGTTATCAAAAGGAAGGAGATACAAAGCTGTGAACGTGCTGCGCTGGTAAGCTGGGAATCTGGTAACACGAATCCTGTTGACTCTTACTCTGTTGAATTGTCCAAGCTGACAGATGGAGGAGATGGGGACATGACTACGGAGTGAGTTGCATAACATTTCATAAGCCCAAGGCCCTCATATTTTTCAGAGCACCCAAATGACTGAAGGAGCCTGAAGGGAAACCACGGTTCCTCAGGGTCTGACTAGACATGATGGGGACATCTTTCACCAGGGGTCATTTCGTAGAAAAAGAGCTAGGGGAACTCATTAGCATAGCTCATTAGCATATGCCACACCCCCTGACATCAGGGGCCCAGCGGTGGACCTGCAAGGCCAGCGGGAGTGCGAGGAAGCCCCACCAAGGCCCTCCCTGGCCCCAGGCAGGCAGGGGTGGGGAGAGGCGGGGAAGAAGCAACTTACCCTCCCTCTTCTCCTGCCTCCTCCTGGCTGAATGAGGGCTGGAAGCGGGGCGGCCGGAAGCAGGGGGCGGGGCTTTGTCATGTGCCTCCGCCCCCCTGCACCTCACCCAGGGGAACTGCGTTCCCCCGCGTTCCCCCCCGAAATGACCTCTGTCGTTCACGCATCTGTTCTGTTCACATATAAACTAAGACATGCAGCCTTACTTTAATTGTAAAAGGCCTGTGCAGAAGGGGAATGCTGAACTTGCCCCCTGCCCAAGCCCTGTAGTTAGCTGCTCTGGAAATCTGTGAGATCTTTGGGGCAGGGATCTGCCTTCTTGTATTCTGTAGAATGCCATGTATATTAGTAGTGCTAATATAATAATAATTGTTAATAAAAATAATAAGAAGAGTTAGATTTATACCCCAACCTTCACTCCATCTCAGAGCGGCTTACAATCTCCTTCCCTTCCTCTCCCCAACTTCCTCTCCCCCTGTGAGGTAGGTGGGGCTGAGAGAGCTCTGAGAGAACTGCTCTTGAGAGAACTGCGACTGACCCAAGGTCACCCAGCTGGCTTCATGTGAAAGAGCGGGGAATCAAACCTGTTCCTCCAGATTATTGTATGCCACTCTTTGCCACGACACCAAATTAGTTGCTGATATTTGTAAGACTGATGTGCCCTTTGTTACCCAGGCCCTGCCAGAGCACAGGGTAATTAGAACTGTAGGCTGACCGTCTCTTTCCTACGGCCTGTTCTGCTTCAAGGGATTTAGTCCAATTACATGCAAAGGCTCGTTTCTCATGCATAAATCTTCTAAACATTTAAGGCAGGGTTGAAATGTCTTCTGTGTTTTCGAGGTTCCCACAAGGCCTGCCATTCTTTCCTTATTCTCTCTCAGAGTTCTTTCCATTTCTCTCCAGGTCCATCATTGGGATCCCAAACTGTGAAACTCTAATTCAGCTGGACCCAAGGACAAAGTACCTGCTGGCTGTGAAAGCCATGAATATGGGAGGTCCCAGTGAAAGAAGCGAGCCCGTCTCCATTGTTAGCACTGGTAATCATACTTCACATTTACATCACTCATTTTCAAAACACTCAGCATGAATCCCCAGGGATCCTCCAGCAGTGCTGTAAGGTAGGCCATTCTTACAAACCCCGTATTGCAAGTGACACCTGAGCCCAGGAGGTAGCGGCTGATCACCTAACAAATTTGAGACTTGACGCAGCGTACTGGCGACACCCCAAGCCATGCCTCCGGGCAATCTGGGCGAGGGGGTGCATGTAGATGTTGAACAACATCGGGGACAGTACCACCCCTTGCGGCACCCCACACACCAGTGGGTGCCTCTGGGACGTCTGCTCCCCTAGCGCCACCCTCTGTCCCCGACCCTGGAGAAAAGAGGCAAGCCATTGCAAGGCGAGCCCTTGGATTCCAGCGTCGGCGAGGTGGTGAATCAGTAACTGGTGGTCGATGGTGTCAAACGCCACCGACAGATCCAACAACACCGGTACCACCATACTGCCTCGATCCAGATGCCTCCGGAGGTCATCTGTGAGAGTGACCAGTGCCGTCTCCATCCCGCAACCCATCCGGAAGCCAGACTGGAACGGGTCCAACATGGAATGTCATTCATAAAGCCCTGCAGCTGAATCGCCACCGCTCTCTCCAGTACTTTGCCCAAATAGGGCAAATTGGAAACTGGCCGATAGTTGGCCAATTTGGCCGGATTCAGTGATGTTTTTTTCAGGAGAGGGCAGACCATCGCTTCCTTGAGTGCCCCTGGGAATAGCCCCTCCATTTTCTGCCGTAGCCCTGTGTTTCTGGTAAATCTCTCCAAAGTGTCCCCCCGCAAAACAGTGCTATGTTCAGGTTGTCTGGGTAATCCTTTGAGAAATGAGCCAGTCATTTTCAGATCTGTGGGTAGCAATGAACAGCTGTCATTTCCGCACCTACGCATCCATAATCACATCACTGACATGATCGATGGTGCTACATCGCTGCTGGCTTACATTCAAACAAGGCACCTGACGCTGCGAGGGGCCCTCTCTACGGCATGGGTTTGCTTCCAGCAATAACAGCTCACATCTCTGTTGGCACAGCACGGGCAGGGAGGCAAACTTCCTGTTGATTATATGGCCTGCATTTCAAATAGAACAGGAGAGCCGCCTTGACAGGGGGGAAACCCAAGCTGGGCAGGCTGCAGCCAGAGTGTTTCAGGAGGCACAGGGGCAGGAGAGCCACAAGCCCTCCTGCAGTGGCTAGTCAAGGTGGCACTCCTTCCTCAACACTTCCTGCTCCCCAACTCAGCCGGCTGCCCAGGGCTGGCAGCTCCAGAAGAGACTCCCGCAGGGGGGCAGCCTTGCTCAGGCACGGCTGAGGCAGGCAGCCCAACCAGAGGCTGTGGAGAAAGGGGAAAGGGAGAGGCCGTGCAGGGAAATGCACCACCAGCAGCCTCAGAGCCTGGCAGGCCCAGCACAGGCCTCCGATGAAAAGGGGGTGGGGTTCAGGCAGCAGGCTGCACCAGGGAACAGGCTGGAAGAGGAGGAGGAGGCTGGTTGCGGCTGGAGTGATTAACACATGGAATTCACTGCCACAGGAAGTGGTGGCGGCTACAAGCATGGACGGCTTCAAAAGGGAATTAGATAAGCATATGGAGCAGAGGTCCATCAGTGGCTATTAGCCACAAGGTATAGATAGGGGCTCTGGGGCAAGTGATGCTCTGTCATCTTGGTGCTTGGGGGAGGGTCAACAGTGGGAGGGCTTCTAATGTCTTGGCCCCACTGGTGGACCTCCTGATGGCACCTGGTATTTCTGGCCACTGTGTGACACAGAGTGTTGGACGGGATGGGCCATTGGCCTGATCCAACATTATGAGCCTCCTGGGGGCCTGGGCGGGCGGGCAGGAGAGGGGAAGGCCAGTGGCCCAGATTCCTGTCAATCACCGTGGGCTCGCCCCTGAAGAGATGGTATTGGGGGAGTCCAGGGCAATGCTCCCTCTAAGCTGTGGAGTCTTGGGGGAAATATTCTACTTTGTGAGCCACTGGTGTTAAAGTTGTGAGCCAGCGATTTGGCTGCTGCATAAATGAGTTTGCTCTGGAGCCCTCCTTCCTGAGCTGAGACAAAAATGTGTGAGCCAGAGGCTAAAAAACCGTGAGCTAGCTCACACTAACTCATCTTAGAGGGGACACTGGTCCAGGGTCAGCCTATCCCCCGACAAGCCCCTATTATGCCAGCCCAGGAAATGCCGAGGAGGAAGGGCCATGAGATTGCTAGCCTGACAGAAGGAGGAGGAGGAGGAGGAGATTGGATTTATTCCCCAACCTTCACCTGGAGTCTCAGAGCAGCTTACAAACTGCTTCCCCTCCCCTCCTCTCCACACAACAGACACCCTGTGAGGTAGGTGGGGCTGAGAGAGCTCTTGACAGAAACTGCTCGTTTTCAAGGACAGCTCTTATCAGAACTACAGCTTGCCCAAGGTCATCCACCAGCTTCGAGTGGAGGAGTGGGAAATCAAGCCTGGTTCTCCCAGTTTAAAGTCCACGCACTTAACCACTACACCAAACTGGCTCTCAGAGAGAGGGAGGTCCAAGGGGGTTGCCCCCCCCAAGACCCTTCCTGAGGCACAGCCAACAGAAAGCAGGACCTGGAGATTACGGCAGCCATGGTGAGGAAGAACTACACACAGGCTAATTTCAAGGCCATCGCAGGACAACGGGCACAGAGGTATGGTTAGGGTTGCCAGACTGGACAAAGGACCTGCCCATTCAGAGGTGGGTAGAGGGAGTCAAAGGGCACAATTTGTGTGTCCAGTGTCAGAGCCATTAGGGCAAAAGAGCAGAGCCTACATGCCTAGGGTTGAAGCAGAGAACTAACGGAAAATGTCCTATTCCTGTAATGTGCACAGCTATTGTCTAGGCTTACAGGTCCTACCAAGCAGTACACCCATACTTAGTAACAGGACTGTACAGATAAAGCTGCCACAGTCTAGACCAGGGGTGTCGAACTCATTTGTTATGAGGGCTGGATCAGACATAAATGAGACCTTGTTGGGCCGGGCCATGTGTGTCATAAAATGTAACTTTATAAAGGACTCATGATCCCTCGTGTGTTGCCACCTTCCTCTGCCACCACTCTGGACTTAGGGTCTCTTGGGAAGGCCCAGATTACCCTCCCAAGCCCAACCAATATGCCCCTTTTAAGCCGAGAAATATAGGCATGATGACCAGGCAGAGAACATTAAACAAATGGTTTATTAATACAGTAATGGGGCAAGGAAAACAAGACAAGGTGCTTAAAATATATAACAGTGTCTAAACGCAAAATAAACAACTCTAACGCGGCTACTATTCAAGGCCCACAGCCTTTTATACCAGGCCTGTACTTGTACTCACTCTGTCTTTCTCTCAGACCAGTCCCCTCAGTTTTAACTCTGTGAGAGGAAAGAATGCCCACAAAGGCTAAGTCACAATCTCATCACACAATCTCTGGACACCGATTGGTTACAACCATCGCTAAGCATTGTGGGGATTGTAGGCTGTGTCTGCTTTCCACTCCCACACAGGTCTCCTGGGCCTAGGTGTCTAGGCCTTGTCTCCCAGTCCTACACAGATCATGACAAGGACACAAACACAAAGGTGTTTTTTTTTTACTTAAAATAAAAACATGCTTAAAACATTAGCTCTGTAAGCTGCAAACCTACTTTTGATTTACTGAGATTCACCACAGAAATCTCATGCTCAGAGTTCTGAGTCTAGGACCCAGGTTAAAACATGAAATGGCTGAGTGATTAAGAGAGTCTGGCAAAGCAAGCTATAATGCGACAGCAGCAGCAGAACTGGAAGCGGGAGATGGCCAGTTCCACAGCGGGCCTGATGGAAGCCCTCCGTGGGGCCTGATCCGGCCCCCGGGCCACATGTTTGGCACTCCTGGTCTAGACAGTGCCATAAGCATAAGGGAAGAACTGAAAGAGTACTGTAACTCAAGCAGATTGGAAACACTGAGGCCGAGAGTCTGTGCCTCAGAAGATAATCACTGATTTTATAGCCAATCACTCAAAACCTATTGCATAACTGCTCTCTCAAGAAAGAAAGCCATGCTGTAGGATACTCTCTGAATCCATGGCCAAGTACTGAAAACCTCTGCAAACCAGCAGGTCTTCTGTCAAGAAATGAACCAAAGCACAGAGCCAGTGAATCTATAGAGAACAACACACATGCAGGCATTCACAGATACACTATATCCTACTTTGAATAGCTTTCTTCTACTCTGATCTCCAGTCACGGCAGAACCACATGCAGAACCATGATCCTTTCTACCCAGCTGCTGGAAGGGAGGGCTAGAACAGGACACCAAAGGCAATGTCTGGTGTACAAAGAAGAGACGGAGACCCTGAAGGGGGCAGCAAGAAGACAGACAGGATAGTGAGGACAGCACGGTCACACTGTTAACTGTCATCCTTTGTCTGTCTCCAGATTGCTACTCTTAGGGCAATTTCCCCCTTCTTCTTGGAAGTGCTTCACTCAGTCTTCCCCTTGCTCTCAGCTAGAGATATAGTTAGGAACCTATCTCTGTCTCTCCTCTTTCCTATCAAGTATATTAGTTCCTAAATAAACCATTATTTACTCTTTAATCAGGCTGTGCACCTGTTGCTGCGTTAATTACTCTGCCAACAAAACCCACATATTGACCACATGGTTCCATGATTCATACGTGTGTCAGAGCTGCAGGAGATGCCGTTCCCATATCTCTGCAGTTGTGTTTGTGTGTGAGAGTGTGTGAGAGAGAGTGTGAGTGAGTGAGAAGTGAGTCATTGTACAAGAATGACTTTGTTTTCAGGGGTTCATCAACCAACACCAGTTAAGTATCCCATTCTGTTAACAGGCACCTACTTTACTCTGAACGAGGAGACGGCCCATCCCTTACTTTCTGTCCTAGAAGATGGTTTTACAATCACTTGCCGCAAAGCTGACAGTCCAAAAAGTGATTTGTCCTTCTGTGAAAACAGTTTTACAAGGTACAGAATTCAGAGCTTGGATGCTTATTTGCATTATCTGCACATAAAATACAATTTTGCTTTCAGGTTTTTTTCAGGGAAAGGGGGAGTCAAGAGAGTAAAACTTGTGATGTAAACCTGATGTGCATTTTATGTACACCCCATTTATCTCACAGGTCTGAAGGGAGGATAAATTGGGAGAGCCCCCCCCCCCATGGATATTGCCTTGAGCCCTTGGTGGAAGAGGGAGGTGATAATCTGCTACCTCACCCCTAACCCTGACTCCTTTCTTGAGCTAACCAGTGCTCACCTTCTCTGCTTACTCATAGTACTTCAGAATGGTACAAGACTAATAATTGTTCTTTTGGAAGGGGCTCATGGGATTTTTTCAATGACAATAAGCAGTTAACAAGAGAGGAAATTGCTACCACTGCCTGTCAGGAGAAACTGGCTTTTATTACCATCTCCTCTGTTATCAAGCTCCATAAGACACGGACATTCTCGTTTCAATTTTGCATGCTTATATACCTCTAGCATTGAATCACATTTCCCGTCCCGTCCCCCCCAGTCTGCAGAGTCCTGAACACAAAAAAAGAGGGGGGAAACGTCATTTGGACGCAAGCAGAGCGCATTGCTCTTAATCCCGTAGCAGTGGGATTTTAAAAATTAGCATAATTACCCCATCCCACCTAGTGACTCTCCGTCATTTTACACACGTCACCGGATTCTAGAGGAGGTGGGTGGGTGTTTCCTTCTCTTCCTTCTCACTTAATTTCCAGAAGTTGCTGCAGTTGCTATAGCAACATGACTTTTACACATAATCTGACCTGCAGAGCCATCTGAATGGTCAGTGACAATCATGGGTTGTGTTGATAGTGGGTTAAAGAATTGGCTCCACTTTTTTAAAAACAAAAAAAACAAAAAAAGGTTGTGTAGTAGAGCAGAGCTAACTAGGAGCAAGCCGCTAATGCCACTGGGACGCTTTCTGGAGAAGGCCCAGAAAACTTGGCTGAACAGGTTAGTCAGATGACTATCATTAGGAGCTTGTCTACGAGACTGTCGGATCAGGTCTCATGAGCCTCCTTGCTGAGGGTCCCTGGCACAGAAGCATGGCTTTGTGGTTGCAACTTGTCTCCTAGAAATATATTTGTGAGTTTATTCATATGCCCACCTGTCATGGGGCGCCCCTTCTTATCATGAGGAGAGGAGGAGAAGGAGAAGGAGAAGATGATGACAACCTGCCTCCCAACCCTGCCTTGGCAGATCCTTCCCATGAGGCCAGGCTCCTGGGGTCTTCCTGAAGGGACCCTGAACCAGCGCTGGTGCCGCATCCTAAGCCAGCAGGGCCCCCTGTCTGTCTGTCTAGAGGCAGCAGCGTAGACCTGCCTGCAGTTGGGCCCACCATGGTCGAAGGGCCATGCCAGCCCTCAGCCAAGGAAATTCTGGAAGAGAGTGAAGAGTCCTCACAGGGCCTGGGCCCCAGTCCTCATGAGCACAGGAGCTGACTCAGCTTGCCCAGTGAAGAACCTAAGGTGGGAATCAGCAGCACCTGCACAGAGACTCCCTCTACATGGGATCAAATTGTCTGCAGTCTTGCAGACACCAGCAGCCTGACCTGCTTTGTATCTACTTTTGCTACCTGACCCTTGGACTGCTTTTGACTCGGCTTTTGGAACACATAACCTGACCCTGGGCTGTGACTGGAAAACCCCTCCTGTCAGACCCTGTGTTTACTTGGACCGCCCTCCCACCTGGTGGCCAGGACACCACCTGAGTGGGAGAAAACAGTGTAGAAACAATGTTATAAAACACAGATAAAAAATGGTAGAGAAATAAACATTAAAGGCAGTCTAAAGTCACCTGCCCCCAAAGTAGGGCTGCCAAGTCCCCCCGGGGGGCGGGGAAACCCCCACCCCAGAGGCCCGTTCCCCACCACCGGCGGATCAGGCCCCGGGGGGAACCCCACCCCGATGTGCGCGTCACCAGGAAGTGACGTTAGGACGCCGAGCACGCTGGGGGCGGGGCCATGACCATCGGAGGGAAAACACTATGGTTTTCCCTCCGATGGTCGTGGCCCCGCCCCCAGTGTGCCCGGCGTCTTAACGTCACTTCCGGGTGACGTGCGCGCGCGCGCTACAGTCGATGCCCGGGAGTCCCCCACTGCGGCAACTGCAACGACTTGGCAACCCTACCCCAAAGCTGTCTGGAACAGCTCTGCCTTGCAGCCTTGCTGGAATCCCAGGGGATAGGAGACCCCCCCCTCTTTTAGGTGGCCATTCCAGAGGCATGAGGTAGCCACATAAAGGCTTCAGCCAAACCTGCCTTGGATAAGTGGAGTACTGACAGTAGATCCTAATGGGAAGAGCAAAGCTGCTACATGGGAACATGCGAGGAGAGGTGGTTGTGGATTCAAATTGCTCACTCCCCCCTTTGCAGAAAGTCAGATGGGAGCTAATTTTTTATGAGCAGTAGAGTACATGCTTAATATTTTTAAACAGCTTCCAGATGCAGTCATAGTTTTCAGGGTCTCATGCAGCAAAGATGAGAACATCCAACTATATTCTAATTCTCATCACTAGCAGTTTCATACAAACAAAGCTCTGACACTGTCAGTGGGAGGTTTTAGGGAAGGATCTGGTGAAAAGCCACCTAACCTGTGATGATGAAAAACAAGATATTAAAGGAAAACTAAATGCAAGAATTACCAGAAATTTTGAGTAATCGCATTACCTTCCTTAAAAAAAAAAAGGGTAGAAAATTAGCTTTCCTAGGGGCTGCTTTCCTTCAAACAGAGACACTGGTCGAATCTGCATTTGTCTTTCCCACCAGTGTCTCAGCCTTCTGACCCCATCTTCAAAAAAACTGTCTACATTTGCTTTCTTTTTCACACTTCAACTGTGCGAGTATACTCTTGCGTGTCTGTATCTGTTTATCGCCCTCTCGTGGTGGCTCCATTGTAATTGCGCCTCTGCACTGCTTTAAATGAATCTTCTCCAAACAACATTCAAACAAGCATAGAGAAAGACAGCGTCACAGAAGCACAAAACTAATTTAAAAATGCAAATGCAGATTCGACCATTCAGTGTAGGCATTACACCAAACCCGGGGTTTAAGGGTGCTTAACTGCGGTGGCTCAAGTGGTTAAGATGCTGAACTGCAGGCTGTGGAAGGTCAGTAGTTCAGCAGTTCAAGACCCAGGTGTTGCATGATGGAGTGAGCTCCCATCTCTAGTTCCAGCTCCTGCCAACCTAGCAGTTCGAAAGCAAGAAATTGCAAGTAGATAAATAGGTACCACTTCGGTGTGAAGGTAACAGCGTTCCGTGCGCCTGGGTGTTTAGTCATGCCGGCCACATGACTACGGAAACGTCTTCGGACAGCGCTGGCTCTTCGGCTTTGAAACAAAGATGAGCACCGCAACCCTACAGTGGGATTCGACTGGCTTTCGGGCAAGGGAACCTTTACCTTTAACTGTGGTTTAGTGCAGGGATCCCAAATCTGTGGGCCCTTTAGGAATTTTAAGAACAGTTAGTAGGCGTCACTACAAAATGGCTGCCATGTCAGGCTGCAACCAATGAAACAAGGGCTGTCAGGGGAGCCAAAGCTAATCACAAAAGGCTGGGAGGTTCCAAGTCCTATGAGGAAGGCACCTTTTTTAGAGTCGATACCTCCGAGGCTCTTCTGAAAAGTCTCCTGTTCCAGTGATGGGGACAAAAGCGAGGACTGGCTCTTTACTTTGGGAAAGAAGCAAGCTGGCACCCGCAAACACACTGGCCATAGTGCCCACAGGATCACTGCTTTAAGCCGATGTCTGAACTGAACTAGGCTATACATATGAGAGCAACTGGGTGGATGGGGACAAGGTGGTCAGTCTAGATTACTCAACCTTCCCTAGTTCCTAAGGCAGAACAGATGCTCCATCTTAGGAGAGGATACATATTTTGTTAGGAAGTGAATACATTTCAGTTCTCATTACTTTGAAAAACAGAATAGCCTGCTAGAAAGGGGGGGGGGGAGTTTACATCTAGGAGACAGAGCGCAGAACAAAGCATGCACTGAAAGATTCACTCCATCAAATTCATCGTGATGGTATAAGAACAGGATCACCTTCACTCGCAGCCTTAGCTTTCTTTTGTACTTCACATAAACATCCAGTAATTCTGCACAAGCTGCCAGAACCTTGGGCATTATTGCTGCAAAGAGCCTGAACCCTCTTATGCTAGGGGACAAGAAAGGGAAACACTGAACTCAGAAAGTGCTAATTGGAAAGGACACAGCCTCTCTCTGAAGCTCATGTAATTTTTTTCTTTAAAAAGTAATACAGAAAGCTGAAATCCTCCCCATGCTTACTGAGGAGAAAGTCCCCTTGACCAAATTTGGACTCTCTTCTGAGTAAGCACGTTCAAGATAACCATAAGTAGACAGGAAATGGTCCTGGTAAGATCTACTGGGACCATCAGAGAAGTCAGGAGCCTAAACCAACAGCAAACACAATTTGTTTGACCAGAACAGCACATTTCTGTATTCTTCTGCCAGATCCATTGCCATACTGGGAAAGTCAATACCATTCCACGGGAAACATTATTGGGAGGTGGATGTTAATGACAGCATCGAATACCGTATCGGTGTGGCTTTTGAAAACGTGTCCAGAGACAGCTACTTGGGGACAAGCCACTCATGCTGGTGCATGAGACATACCGTCACTCCTTCCAGGTAAGAACTCTTCCAGGTCCTCTTGACATGATAGCACAGAAATGCATGGGCTAGGAGGCCAGGAGGAGGAGGAGGAGAAAGGAGAGTGGGTAGACCCAAGGGCAAACCTGGGTTTGCTTCAGGGTTCCCAGCTCTGGGTTAGGAAATTCCTGGAGATTTGGGGGTGGAGCCTGGGAGGAGACGGTCTGAGGGGGGGAGGGATGGGACCCCAGCGGGGTGTGATGCCATGGAGCTCACCCTCGAAAGCAGACCTTTTCTCCGGGGGGATCTGGACTCTAGTCTGGAGATCAGTTGCAATTCTAGGAGATCTCCAGCCCCCACTCGGAGACTGGCAGCCCTAAAATACAATCGCAGCAATACTATATCTTTATAAATATATAAATAAATATATATATTTATAAATATATAAATAAATTTGTTCCATGTTAACTGATGTTTCCTACATTTTATGTTGGGAGGGAGAAAGTACTGTGGGGTTACTCTGCAAGTTGAGTTCTGGACACTCCAGTAAGTTTAGAGGTGGGTCTTGCCTTAAGCAGCTTGAGAACCCCTGGCACAGAGCCTCCTTCCAGGGATTCCCGCATTGTGTGCAGAAGGGCTATTTGGTGTGGCAGGAGCATCCAGACGTTCCGTTCCCCGCCCCACTAGTCTGCCATGCTGATTATACAGCCCAGTGACAGATATGTCCACGTGACTCTCCTACTCACCAGTTTTATCTCCGAGGACCAATTTATACGTGTTTGTTCCATGCTGTTAGCCACAAAGGATGCAATCTGCAACAGGCGGCCCATGGGGAGGGGGACGTTGTACTCCCTTCTCCAAGGAAGTGAGGTGCTATTTTTTACCAGAAATCCATCCAGAGGAGAATGGCTTTATTACTTAGGAAGTTTCTGTCTTGTCTTTCTCCTAAAAGCACTCCACTTCACCCATGCAGGTTTGTTGCTTCAGACTGCAGCCTCTGTGGCTGATATATATGTGCGTGTGTGGCTGATTCTATATATAAAGTTGTTGGGGACAAGCTGTACAAGACTGAACATCACATGTAACTTGGCCTTAAAGTCATGTCTGTCTGTATCCTTGCCAAAGAAGCAGAGTAAAGCTGTTAGCCTTTTGGAAGAGGTGGACGTGCCCACTGGGATGGTCAGCCAACTCCAGTCCATGACAGATTTCTAACTATATCAGCTTTTCCATTGCACAGACACATCTACGAATTTCTGAACAACGGGATGACACCCGACATCAGGATAACAGTCCCTCCCAGGAAGGTGGGCCTCCTGTTGGACTATGACGATGGGACACTGTCGTTTTTCAACACAGATCTCATGCAACACCTGTACACCTTCCACAGCCACTTCCAGGATTTTGTGTGTCCTTGCTTTGCTGTAGAGGAACCCGGGACACTCAGAATTCGAAACAGCCTTGCCATGCCCACCCATATTTTTCTATGATTATGGCTAGCAATTCCACACGGCCTCTTTATGCAAAAAAGAAAAACTCTCCGTAGCAACCAAGTTCTTTTCTTTTCAACAGAGTCTACTTGGTGTATAGATGAGACTCCAGTCCCAGCCTACATTGTTAGCATCGTCACTATGGCTGTATTGAGATGCCATGTCAAGTGCGATTCCCGCACAAACCCAGCTTGCTGCCTCGCTGGCTTGCTGATCATCAGCCTCCACCTCCCCACTCTGGGGCGCCAGGATGAAGAAGTCCTGGTTTAAAATTAAGTCCCATTAGCCCATCGCCGTACAAACACAGGCATGCGGCTTAACTAGAGGTTGTTCCCCTGCCTCACAAAACTCAAATTCTAGGACTGGACTGAACAAATAAATACCTTTTCTGGGCTCAGTTTCCACATCATCATTGGACTGGGAAACATTTTTTGGGGGGTAAGGAATCTGTTCTTGAATCCCTATATTTCACTGTTAGAGTAGAGCAGCTGTCTTGGAGTCTACAGAAGTTCATAGCCAGGGGTCATTTCCTGCAGGAGCGCACAGGAGCGGAGCTCCGGCAGTAAAGAGCCCAGGGGGCGGGCACATGCAACAAGTCCCACCCCCTGCAGCCCTCAGTCAGAGCAAGAAGCAGCCAGGTAAGCTGCAGAGCCCCCCGGTCCAGAACAGTCCAGTGGCACCTTTAAGACCAAGTTTTATTCAGGTACAAGCTCTCCCTCCTCTGTGAGGGCAGATCTGCACGTTCCCCCCCCCCCAATAGCTAGCAATCCAAAACAGTCTAGTGGAGCCTGAGAGGCGGGTGTTGCCTTCTGACACACTTCCGGTGATGTCAGGGTGTGTGGCATATGCAAATGAGTTATGCTAATGGATTATGCTAATGAGCTCCTGCACCTCTTTCTCTACAAAATGACACCTGTTCATAGCTTCTAGTGACCTCCCCCCGAGTCTTTTCCTCTCACGTTCCACTTGGTTTACAAACATGATTGAGCACTTTTAGGTTGCAAAACCAAATGGGGATTTGAGAACAACAGGGCTAAATGGCCCATATGGTGGGGATTCAAACTAAAAATCTATGAAGAATAGACTGCCCACTAATATGCCATATAAAACACAAGCCATTGGGTATTAACAGATTTTATCTTTCTGCTTAGCAGACTTGTTGCCGGTTTGGTAAATCAGCAGTTCAAGGCTTATTACTTGCTTATAAATATTTATAAAGCAAAGGAAGACACCTGGATTTTCTGAAAAAAAGCCCATTCTTTATACATTCCTTGACAATTAACATCCATGTTTATTATAGTCTGTTCATCGAGCACAGGTGCCTCAGCAATTTTAAGTGGGGACTATTCATAAAGTATATCACAGTTCCAAAAATACCATAGAATCATAGAATGTTAGAGTTGGAAGGGATCTTGAGGGTCATCTAGTCCAACCCCCTGCACTCTGCAGGAGCGTAGCTGAAAGATAGCCCTAGAACATACCCAAAAGATGGTCGTCCAGCCTCCGCTTGAAAACGCCTAATGAAGGAGCATCCACCACCTCCCGAGGAAGTCTGTTCCACTGCTCAACCACTCTTACAGTTAGGAAGTTTCTCCTGATATTTAGCTGGTAAAGACTCCCTTGTAATTTCCACCCATTAGATCTAGTCTTGCAATCCAGAGCAAGAGAGAATGATCCACTCCATCTTCTACATGTTCCCTCTAAGCCTTCTATTTCCCAGGCTAAACATACCTAACTCTTTCAGCCTTTCCTCATAAGACTTGAATTCCAACCCTCTCACCATCCTGGTTGCCCTCTTCTGGACACGCTCGAGCTTGTCAACATCCTTCCTAAAATGTGGTGCCCAAAACTAGACACAGTACTCCAGGTGAGGCCTGACCATAGCAGAATAGAGCGGAACTACCACCTCCCGTGATCTGGACACGATGCTTCTGTTAATGCATCCGAAGATTGCATTCGCTTTCTTCGCAGTCACATCGCACTGCAGGCTCATGTTTAGCTTGTGATCAACCAGAACACCTAGATCCCTTTCACATGTGCTGCTGTCAAGCCAAATCCCTCCTATTCTATAGCTGTGCATTTGATTTTTTGTACCTAAGTGTAAGACTTTGCACTTATCTCTATTGAAATTCATTTTATTTGTCTCGGCCCACTGTTCCAGCCTCTCTAGATCATATGGTGTGGTGGTTAGTGTCAGACTAGGGTCTGGGAGGCCCAGGTTCAAATCCCTGCTCTACCACAGAAGCTTGCTGGGTGGCCTTTGGCCAGTCACACTCGCTCTCAGCCCTAATGTACCTTGAGGATAACATGGAGGATGTTGTAAGCCACTTTGGGTCCTCGTTGGTGAGAAAAGTGAGGTACAAATGAAGTAAAATTAAAATAAATAAAAAATTAAACCTACTCCTCACCTACCCCACCCACCCACCCACTTGATAAACAACGGATTTTATAAAGTGCCCCAGACCAAGCCAGAAGGTTACGTACAGTTCTTTGGTGACTATACATGTAGGTTCTAGATGTTTACCCTGCCTCTGATTTTATTACATCTCCTGTAGGTTTTAATTAATTAATTGTATTTTACCAATCCTGTCATGTTTATAACTGTTGGACACCCGAAGACCGCCTAGAAGTAGGAGCCGAGAACAGCAAGCCCTGTCACCTGGGTGCCAGTAGGCAGCCCCGTCCCTTGTGTAATATGTGGCCTTAGTTAGGAAAAATTGGAAATTGGAACCTGTATGTAAACAGCTCAGAGACTCTTCGGGGTTAGACACTTGGGGGGGGGGGACGCCACGTGGCAAGGAGAAGATGCCGCTGGGCCCGGGAGGGAGAGAGAGAGATTTCCAAAGAATCACGGCTTTATTCTCCAGCTCCCCGGGTCTAGGGGAGGGGGAGGGAGTTGAAGGCATTCCCCCCCCACACACACACACACTTAAAAATATACACACGCAAGAGATCTACCCCAGAGAGAGAGAGAGAGAGAGAGAGAGAGCAGAAGAAGCAACCATTTGGGGAAGGAAGCACACAAGCAGTCAGCATAACTGATAAAAAATCTGTAACCGTCAGCAGGATTGATTGAGGGTCATGTGGTCATAGATAAACACACCATCCCCCTATTTTTTGCCTATTTGATTGGCACTAGGAGTCCCCCCCCCCCGTCACTGTAAGCATCAAAAGATTTTCCAACAAACTTTGCTGTGTGGATTTGCACCTCATTACAATTGGAACCCCACAAAGTCAAATCCACCACCAGCTCAAGGGATAAGGGAAATGCCAGAAAGTTCAAGAAGGTGTAGCTCATATCTTTCTAAATTTAAAGAACTGAGACCATTGGAAACCACTAGAGGGCAGTAGTTAGAGTTCCATGAAAAATAAGCATCTCTGTTGCGACAATTTGTGTAATCCAAATCATAATAAAAACTGCCAGGCCTCAAAAAATCCCCCCAAACGGGATTTCGGAGGCTCAGAATACACATGAGGCTCAGTCATGTCATTCATGCTCCCAACAGTTTGTTTTGTGAAAGTAAACCTTCATTCCACACTGTGATGAAGAGTGGGAAGAAACACAGAGGTCCGCCAGAGCTTGAAGGCAACATCTGCCCTCCACATTTTGTCTTCAGCTCCTGGTATTCGCGGGTATACCGCCTCTGAACACAGAGGTTCTGTTTTACAATAGCTAGCTGCCATCCATCCATTTTTGTACCCCTTTCAGAAAGCTATCTAAGTTCAGTGGCTGTCACCAGACTTTGTGGTAAGGAATTCCATAAGCTAATTGGGCACTGAGCCCAGGTACGCTTCTTAGGCCAACCTTAGCCCGCTCTAGTATTATGAGACTGGGGAAACAACAACGTTTCTATCTCCACCTCACTCATAATTTCATAAGTCTCTATCATGTTCTCCTCTTACACGAAACACTAACCCTTAAAATGAATTTCTCAGATTTAGCATACTAACTAATAATGAGTAAAAAAAAATACAAAGAGCAATTTAAAAAATAATTGCAGTCGGTTCATACTTCTGGGACAAAAAGTAAAAACTGTAGGCAATCCAAGTACAGCCTGACCACATCTCTTGATCAGACCTTGTTCTTTTTACCTTTCATGTAGGAGGACCGTATCAGCAGAGCCAACTCCCTTCACCAGTTCTACTTTCTTATTCCTCCAAATCCAGTGTTTCTAAGACATTACAAGGAAGTCTGGGGACTAGAACCCACACCCTTGCACTCCACAGTCTAGCACCTTAACCACAAGGCCAGCAACAAGACACCCTTTAAGCTCTTTCCTCTTTCTAACAATGAAGGGCGTGTCTACACTGCGAACAAACTGCTTTACCAGACTCTCCTCTGCACAAGGAACGGCAGCTTGAGGAAAGGGGGGGGGGGGACCATCAGCACCTTACCAAACTGCAGTTCCATGGTTATTTGTGAACCGTTGAAGAAAGTGTGATAAAAATAAAATACCTTTGTAGTGCAGTTGCTGAAACAGTTTCCCTTAGTTGATGAAAGTCTACTGATGGGCCATCAATTGGCTTCTTACACCTGCAAGGGTTCATCACCAAATAACAAACTCTAGAAAGATCCCAGCAAGGCTGATTTCAGGGTTCTGGGCAAGAGCCTTCCTGCAAGGCCCCCCCCCCTCCATGCATGTCATTCAAGCGTAGACACATGCCATTAGCCCTGTCATTGCTGGCAAGGCACCGGGAGCATGAAAGACTTGCTGTCTGCTTCTCCCAGCATGACAGGCACAGCGCGCTGATCCAGGGGCTTCTGTGACATTGCAGTGGCCTCTGGGGCTGTCACCTGTTCCCAGGGTTACCAACCTCCAGGTGGGACCTGGAGTAAATCTAGAATTACAACTGATCTCCGGACTGCAGGGACCCTGGAGGGAATGTCAGGTTGGGAAACTCCTGGAGATTTGGGGGCATGGTCTGCGGAAGGCGGGGCTTGGGGAGGGACCTCAGCAAGGATGTGATGCCAGAGAATCTACCCTCCAGTGCTCCCATCTTCTCCCTGGGAACTGATCTCTGCAACCTGAAAGTCAGCTGTAATTCGGGCAGATCTCCGCGACCCCCTCCCCAGAGGCTGGCAACCCCAGTCAGCTACAGAGAGCAGAATCACATATCGTATCACAACTTTGTTGAGCTCCCCTCCCCAAACTCTGCCCCCAAATCACCAGGAATTTCCCAAGCTGGAGCAGGCAATGGCAACCTGTTCCTAATGGAAGCAGATCAGACAGCTAATGGTTGAAAGCGGTCATAGTCTTTCCAGGGACACCACCACACGGACCCTTGACTCTGCTTCAGGGCCCCAGGACCCAGTCCCTACCATCTTACACTCACACGCGGGGCACAGCCTCGCCTTAAGACCCCAAGAGAGCCATGGCCAGACAATACACAGCTAAAGAGATCACTGGTCTGATGGAATAAA